CGAAATCACAAAATTGATCAAAGAAATCACGATAGGTTTTTTTTGTCCATATCGCACAGCCCTAATTAGAACTCTTTCTATAAAAGCGCTTTTTGTAAATGAAATGATCACAGATCATACCTTAGATGTGCTCTGTTTGACAGCAACCTGGCTAAAACCAGATGATTACATCATTTTAAATGAGGCTACCCCCCAAGATTACTGTTATAAACATGAGCCGCGTCCAAAAGGTAAAGGGGGAGGTGTTGCTACAATTTATAGTAATATTTTCAGTATTTCGCAGAGCTCTGGTTTCAAGTGTAATTTGTTTGAAGTAATGGTGCTTCACATACCATTATCCAGAGAAACAAGTGTTAATGATAAATCCCTGTGACGTTTGTACTGGCTACTGTATACAGGCCACCAGGGCACCATACAGACTTTATCAAAGAATTTGCTGATTTTCTATCTGAGTTAGTGCTGGCTGCAGATAAAGCCTTCATTGCTGGCGATTTTAATATCCATGTTGATAATGAAAAAGATGGATTACGATCATCATTTATAGACATTCTGAACTCCATTGGGGTCAGACAACACGTGTCAGGGACTACTCATTGTCGTAATCATACTTTAGATGTAATACTGTCATATGGAATTGATGTTAATGACGTTGAAATTCTGCAGCAGAGTGATGATAGCTCGGATCATTATCTAGTCTTGTGCATACTCCATAAATCTAAAGCTACAAACTCAACTCCTTGTTACAAATATGGCAGAACCATCACTTCTACCACAAAAGACTGCTTTGTAAATAAACTTCCTGACTTGTCTCAATTCCACAGCAAATCCAATATCTCAGAAAAACTTGATGTTGTAACAGAAACTATGGACTCTCTCTTTTCTATGCTCCTTTACGCTTAAAGAAGATTAAGGAAAACAGTCCAACACAGTGGTATAACGAGCACACTTGCGCCTTATAGAAACTTATAGCCTACTTCTACTTATAGAAAAGCTCTGAAACTGCTAGATCTGCTTACTTTTCGTCTCTTTTAGAAGAAAACAAACACAACCCCAGGCATTTATTCATTACAGTGGCTAAATTAATGAAAAATAAAGCATCAATAGGCGCAGACATTTCCCAACAGCACAGCAGTATTGACTTTATGAACTTCTTTACTATACTAGAAAAGGCAGTATCCTCTCAGCTATGTTCCTTCTTAGAGAAATGGTATCTCTGAGGATTTCCAGTCAGGATTTAGACGGTATCATAGTACTTAGACTGCTCTCATCAGAGTTACAAATGATCTGCTCTTATCATCTGATTGTGGTTGTATTTCTCTATTAGTGCTACTGGATATTAGCTCTGTGTTTGACACCATCGACCAAAACATTCTTTTGAGTAGACTACAAAATCATTAGGATGTGTCCCAAAAACCTTCAAACTGGCTGTTATTAAGCCTCTCATTAAAAAACACAACTTGATCCTAGAGAATTAGTTAATTACAGACCGATCTCAAAACTCCATTTTCTGTCAAAGATACTAGAAAACGCAGTATCCTCACAGCTATGTTCTTTCTTGGAGAAAAATGGTATCTGTGAGGATTTCCAGTCAGGTATTAGACCATATCATAGTACTAAGACTGCTCTCATCAGAGTTACAAATGACCCGCTCTTATCATTCGATCGTGGTTGTATCTCTCTATTAGTGCTACTGGATCTTAGCGCTGGGTTTGACACTATCGACCATAACATTCCTTTGGATAGACTAGAAAATTGCTTTTCACATTTTACATGTTACCCTTGGGAGATATCATGAGGAAACATGGTGTTAGCATTCACTGTTATGCTGATGATACTCAGCTCTATATTTTTTCATGGCCCGACAATATATAATAATTCGCAAAACTAACGAAATGCATACCTGATATAAAAAAAACGTATGACTAGTAATTTCCTACTGCTAAATTCAGAAAAAAAACAGAGGTTTTAATTATTGGACCAAAAACCTCTGCCAAACCACATTTTTCCATCTTAAAAATATCTAAATTACCACCTATGCTCTCAATGTCAAATGCAGAAATGTTAATTCATGCGTTCATGGCCTCAAGGTTAGATTAGTGTAATGCTTTATTGGGTGGTTGCTCTGCATGCTTCATAAACAAACTCCAGCTGGTCCAAAATGCAGCAGCTAGAGATCTTACTAGAACCAGGAAGTACGACCATATTAGCCCGGTTCTGTTAACTCTGCACTGGCTTTCGTAAGAAGAATGGCATCTATGCTAATATTAGTCTATTTCATTCTTATTCCGAGGTCACTGTAGCCACCCAGATCCAGTCTGTATCCAGTCCAGACCTAGAGACAACCTCTACAGCCCTGAATATCAGCGGAGACCATGTCAACTAGATGCATCCCAGAGACAGATCCCCTGCAAAGACCTCGTCACCTCGATGACCATCAGCACAAGACCACGGGAACCAGACAAGTCCTCTGCACCTGTATCGCAGGCTGGAATTAAACCACACCATGATGGTTTCGTCTGGCCAGAGGAGAACTGGCTCCCCAACTGAGCCTGGTTTCTCCCATGGTTTTTTCTCCATTTCTGTCACCGATGGAGTTTTGGTTTCTTGCCAAAGGCGACTTTGGCTTGCTTAGTTGGGGACGCTTGACTGATTGCACAGACACTATTGGAAGAGAGCTGAACTGGAAGATGACATCACTGAATCATCAATGAACTGACTTTAACGGAAAAACTGACTGTATGTTATTGTCTTCTTGCATTATTGACAAACTATTTTCCTGTTTGACACTGTAAAGCTGCATTGACACAACCGGTATTGTATAAAGCGCTATACAAATAAAGGTGACTTGACTTGACTTTAATTCCCTCCCGTTTGGTCATTATTACAGAGCGCTCTGCTGGACGCCCCCCGAGCAAACGCATCACACAGTGATTCTCTGTAAGCCCTGAGTGGCCAAAGCACAGGCTAATGGGCTTGTTAGAATAGATCTCCAGTTAAAGAGATCAGCGACGTCTTTTTAACGTCTCAGTGATGTAGCCGAGCATTCTTCTGTCAGAGCGCCGTGGCTGTTCTGCTCGACTTTCAACTAAATTTGGATCACTATGACACACCAAACCAGCTCATTCGCTTCTGCCAAGGCCTAAAAAATCCTGCAAGGTGCCAACTGTGGTGCTTCTGAGCAGATCTGTCTTATGGATGAGTGTCTAATGATGTTCATGCAGACGTTTGATTCTGGTTTGAGCACATGAGCCAGCAGGAGCGCAGAGAGATAGTTCACATCATTGCAGCAGACAAGCTCATGCAGAGCTGCCATAAAATGACCTGGACCATCATTAAATGGCCCTCTATGAGCACTAGACTCCAACATTATAGAAACAGCACAAAATTACACTGAAGATCATTTGAAGATCATCAAAAGAATAATCTTAAAAAAAAAAAAAAAACATTTCATATATTACGTAAGCATTAATGTTATTAGTGTCAACTAAAACTAAACTCTTGTTAATTAAAAGATAAAGGAGCCAAAAAGAAACTTCGGTGCATTAGACAGGAGAAAAGTGTCTGAATAACACACACAACAACCTATCACCATTCACTATGATCTACACATCTGGGTTTGGACCTCCTAAAAAGGCACTGTAATCAACTTGACGTGTTTGTATGTGCCATTAAGGCATGTAAATGTAATGCATGTAAAGTGTTTACAGCAAGGATCTCCAACCCTGCTCCTGGAGAGCTACCATCCCGCAAACCTCAATTCCAACCCTGCTGCAACACACCTGCCTGTAATTATCAAGTAACCTGAACACCTTGATTAGCTGCTTCAGGTGTGTTTGACTGGGGTTGGAGCTGAAATCTGCAGGATGGTGGCTTTCCAGGCTTACAGCATATAAAAGTGCAGCCATCTAAATGAAACGTTCTTTAGTTGGTCCAAACAAAAACCTTAAAATAATAATAGAAATTAATAATAAAAACACTAGGTCCAAAGTTTGGTGTGGGTAAGATTTTTTTGTTTTTGAATAAGTCTTAAGTCTTATGTTTAACCAAGGCTGCATTTATTTGATAAAAAATACAGTAAAAACATAAATATTTTGAAATAATGTTTACAATAAATAACTTTTCTAATGGAATATATAGTAAAATGCAATTTATTCCTGTGATCAAAGCTGAATTTTCAGCATCATTACTCCAGTCTTCACATGATCCTTCAGAAATCATTCTAAGATGCTGATTTGCTGCTCAAAAAACATTTCTGATTGTTATCAATGTTGAAAACAGTTGTGCTGCCGAATAGTTTAGTGGCAACCGTGATACATTTTTCCAGGATGAATAAAAAGTTCAAAAGAACAACATTTATTTGAAATAAGAATCTTTTGCAACATTCTAAACTTCATTATTGTCACTTTTGATCAATTTAATACTTCCTTGTTGAATAAAAGTATTAATTTCTTTGAAAAAAGTCTTACTGACCTCAAACTTTGTAAATATCGTAACTAAAAACTAAAAACGTAATCTCCAAATGAAATCATTAGTTAATCTAAGCTGCAAAAACAACTTAAAGGTTAAATGAGACTTGACAACACAACCATGATCTCATTAACATATGACCTCTCACATTTACATACCATCTATTCAGTAATCAACAAATTCATGCACTTCATTTGCATGTAGAAAAGTACAAGAGCAAAAGTAGTGTTTAATTAGAAGAGTTAGAGAGAAGGTGGAAAAAAGTCAAAAATAGAAAACTATAGTAAAATAGTAAATTTTACTTCAGAAAAATACTTCAGGGCCTTGGGAAATAAATCACTACAATATGGCTATAAAATATTTAGAAAAAAGTTATTTTAATATCCCTTTTTAAGCTATCTTTGTTTTTATAGTGAGATACAACACTGGTTTTGACACATTTCAGAACACAACAATGAAATCAAGCATGTGTAGCTAGTAGCATGTGAACGGCACACTAGTTCAGTTCCCTGAGCTTCAGTCGCTGGACTCACCGTGTGCCGTCTGCTTTCCAGCTGACTTTATAAACGCTCTGCTCCAACAGACGAATGTTCCTGCGGTCCATCGATACGGGCTGAGCACCAGGAAACCCCGATCTGACAGACACGTAAAGACAAGCACATTAAAAAAAAACAAATGTGATTATTGGACACATTGCTGTGCCGTTTTAATTGATCTCCACTCATCAATGAAAGTAATTATGGCTGCTGTTTCATCAGGATAATAACTCACGACAGAATTCAGCACTTTCCATTAATAGAGCACAACATGTTTTCCATTACTTATTAGGCACTTCAGGGCACAAATACCATGTTCTTTGGATCATGTTATATTCCGCATGAAATGAAAAGGCATCTATTTTCTAAAAGCATGTTACAAAAGCATTTACAATTCATCCATGCACGAGTTTCTTCAATTTAAAAATATCACTCATCTTCTGGTGAAAATTTGTTTTATTTTTTTTCGTCTGATGATCATTTAGTCCACTTCAACCTGCCAGTTTCTTACAACCAACCGCAAGCTCACAGGAGAGAACAAAGTCCCAGACCTGTGTTTTTTTTTTGTTTTTTTTTATTAATTAGTTTTACATTGTATTAATGCATTGAAGGTAGTATACATAAATCTTTGTCTGTGATTTAAGCTCAATCATTCAACTCTGTTGCCAAAGTAATTGAATATAATCAAACTCATTTATGGGAAATGTTATCAGTAATTACAAAAACTTTGTCAATAACATTCAGTCCCAAACTAGCAAGCCCCTACTGAGTCATGATGATTTGATATCTTACTTTAGGCTAAAATATGCAACCCTGTTACCCATTAAGTAGTATTTAAATATGATTTCTATTTATTCATTTATTTGTTTATTACATTTATTTTTATTTATATTTACTTTATTCTTTTTTATCTTCTGAATGTTATTTCATTTAGAGTATATGTTTATTTAATGCTTATTGATAAAATATCTTCAAATTTGGTGACAGGGTTGCAAAATTCAAACCTCATATAAAAATACATAAAATAAAACAGCTCATATAATATTTAGTTTGACATCCTGAGGTTGACAAGCGGCATTTGCTGAAAGTTAAGCATGATATTTCATTGAGCCATTTTTAATTAAATAAATACATCAGAAGTTAATTCTTATTTGTGCCACACACACATTTACAGTCCTCACAATCTCAACATTTTCAATTACTTGATATATTAGTCACATGGGCTCAGAGCTGGAAAGAGTCTGTGGGTGGTAAACACACACACACACACACACACACACACACACACAGAGAGAGACTCACTTGTCCCACTCAGAGAACTCCTGACATTTCCTCTGGATCATGCCGAGCTTGGGCTGTGACGTGACTTGAGTGACTCCTTTGACAGACATTCCATGTTTCTTGAGCAGCAAATCAGCATATTAGAATGAATTTCTGAAGATCATGTGACACTGAAAATTCAGCTTTGATCACAGCAATCAATTAGTTTACTGTATGTTCACATAAAACAAGTTTTAGGTTATTTTAAATTGTAATATATTTCTCAGTATTACTGTTTTTTTTATTTTTGATTAAATAAATTCTTATGGTCAAATTGGTGCGCATAAGAAACTTCTTTGAAACACATCTTTAAATGTTAAAAAACCTCATAAAGTGACATTTTCATGCCATGGGACCTTTAAAAAATCTTAACTGTGAATTATACATAATTTAATATAAATAACAAAATTAATTTACATTTTGTACAAATATTCAAGAATTTAAACAATTTAAAAAGCCCATTTAAAGTATGCATTTTTAAACAGTGATAAATATCACTGAGCTCTGAAATGTATTGAAGAACAACAGCAAAATAAAAAAGAACCATTGAATAGTGCTCAAATCTCAATAGGATTTTAGACACCTTAGTTAGTGTAGAATCCCACGCTTATAATAAAGCTCAAAGTCTACTGAATAAACATTATTAATGCATGAGTAATTATGAGATTAGACAGATGACCTTGCTGCCAGATATCATGTTTATATTCATGGCATCACCACAAAAGCAAACTGAAGAAATCTGCCTCGGTCGTATAATATGATACGATATGTCCTAGCCAAGTCACCATAAAAATGACAGATGAATTGCTTTAAGCTACAGCAGTATGTCTTCACTAACAACCACATGGCATCAAAATAAAAACTAAAGTATAGTGAAAGATTTACAATAAAACAATTAAAACCTCTCCTCAATACAACCCAGTCTTTTCTAACATGCTTGGCTGAATGTAATGAAGTATCGATTAGCCAAAGCAGGTGTGGAAGAGGTTGGATTTACAAACTCAAGAGGAACTCCTCTATATGACAAGCTCTTATAGGCTGTTACACAGCTTCAGGACCAAAATATGGACCCAGTGACGACCCAAAACAGTACCATTATTGATTATCATACAAAAGTAAAATAAAAAATGTCTTAAAACTCAAACACTGAAATAATATTTCCATGCATTACATTAATTTGACATAAGGCTAAACAGCAGAACAGATCATATGATCATATGCAAGTCAACCTGTATTTAATGCATTCGGACGGAGTCATGTTTTCTTTAACTTCTGTTCACTTTTGTTTTTTGTTTAATGATTTTGTTCATGATGTTTGAGGATGAAGGCATTTTATCCAACCTATCCATGCTGGCATTGTGTATTTAGCTATATCCTAACTTTGCACGATTGACTGGTTACTTGTATTTTATTATTTGCATTTAGCATATATTCAGTGCTGTTCACAACCCTTCCAGAACAGAGCTGCGATGAGATGAACTCAAAACCAATCGAATCAATTTTATTTCTTCTTAACACCTTTTAGCTTCACTCAGATGCATTAAAAACTCCAGTGAGAAAGTCCGAACAGACATCAGGAACCTAAAACACAATTAAGACATTTTTTTTGTTGTTGTTTTTTTGTTTATTATATAATAAATAAAAAGAAAACAGATTAGAGCAAGCTTTTTTTTTAACACTAGAACTGCCAGGGGTCACTGTATACCTAAAAGTACCGCTGGGTCAAAACAACCCAATTGCTGGGTTTGTCCCTATTGTACCCAGCACTGTGTTGTATTTAACCCAGCATTGTTTAGAGTGTACACTAGTCACTTTTCATAACGGTCAATATTAAGCTAAACAAGCCTGCACTGACAACGAGAATTAGAAGGAAGTAAATACATCTTTGGGTGGTGTAATAGGCTATTATGATACAATGTCATTAATCAATATATTAAGATAACCTATGTTATTTAAATGACTAAAATAGCCTATAGACAATAATGAGAAATAATAATTCACCACACTGCATAGGATGATGCGATGACAAAATCAAGCGCACAGCTTCACCTAAATATTTATTAATTTGTTTAGTTATAT